GGCTTTTAATCCACTTGCTGTTTTCCCCTGATCATTCTCTCATAATGAGACACAACTTGAGGCGATGTCTTCATTAGCTCCTCCCGTGTAAACCACCAATCTTCTTTGGGGTCCATATGATGCCTCAATCTGACCCTGAATTGCCTTTTAGCGGTCTTCCTCTGTCGAGTAACTTGGGAACAGGCATATCTTTATGCTCCACGATTTCATCGATGTCCACACGTCCATCCATGGTTGGGCGCAGCATAGATCTCCTTGAAGGAAACTGATCAGTGTCAAAGAAAGGTAAGAGCTTTGATGTGTGGAAGACAGGATAAGTGCGTAAGTGTGGGGGTAAATGGATGACACAGGATGGACCATCCGGGTCTGCCCCAACTATATCCAAAATTTTGTAGGGACCGAAGTACTGCGGCTTGATTTTCGTAGATATATCCACTTCGTGTCCAAACTCAGCAGCCTACGCAACATCTTATCGTATTGAATTCCAACTTGATTCTACCGGGTGCTGCAGTCCGTTTGCTATCAGGCAAGACGGCATCTAATGCGGTCCTAGGCTTCCAACAAAGATGCAGTTGGTTGGGTGACTGGCCTGCGACACTATGAACAACGTTGTTGTACAGATTGGCGATGAGAGGTAGCTTCTCATCCCAGTCCTCCTAGCTCGACTTTATGTAGCTTCTGATTAGATGCTATACCACCCAGTTCAGTTGCTCACCCTGACCGTTCGCTTAAGGGTGCCGTTGAGGGAGCCCTCAAATACAACACATCCCCACCCAACCCTAAAGCTAGGTTTTATACATAAACAATTTTCCTTGCTTTGGAGCAACATACGCGAAATCGTGACTGAAACGCATTCAAAACTGAAAACCATAACTATGCCCTAGTTTTCCCAAAACAAAAAAAGGGTCGGGGGAAGGGCGGCGGCTGAGGGTCATTGCATCCTCGTATTCCGTCTCGCCCTGCTCCCGACCCTTTTTTTCCAATCAATCAATCAATTAGTCATTGAATAAAAATCCGTTGAAATCGACGGATCTTGATTGATTGATTGATTGATTGATTGATTGATTGATTGAGTGAGGGAGGGAGGGAGGGAGGGAGGAAGGGAGGAGGGAGGGAGGGAGGGAGGGACCGACCGACCGACCGACCGACCGACCGACCGACTGACTGACTGATAAAAAAAAAAAAGAATCTCGTTAATCGATTCAGGCGCGTCACTAATTAGATGACGAGGCATTTCACTACCTTCAGACTGTCATAGTTACTCCCGCCGTTTACCCCCAAAATATGAGATGCTGTGTTCCACCCGTCGGTATGAAGATGACGAGGACAAGGCCGAGGTGGAGGAGGAGGAGGAAGGAAGAGGCAATGGAGGAGGACGAAGAGCAGGAGGAGGCGGCGGTGAAGGAGGAAGAAGATGAGGAGGAGGTGGAAGGGG